TAGGGTGTTGTTAGGGACCTGGGGAGGGGAAAGGGGGGAAAGGGACTTAGGTAAGGCGCTCAGAAGCAATGCCATACCCTTCAGAGCTCAGCTAAAGAGTAGGAGCTAGGGAAACAAAGATGAAGGGGAGTGGTTTGGGCAGTGTTTCAAGGAGCCTGCTCCTTTGCCTGGGGAGATTGGAAGGGTATCTTGGAAGCGATTTAGCCTGATTCCTGTGTCCTGCATGACAATGGTAGTAAGGCTGATGTCAGGAAACAGTACTTGGATTACTATGGCGCTTTCAGCATGGCAGAGTAACGTGGATGGAATTATAATTGCTTTGCTTTCTTTTCAATGCAAAGCCCTCCCCCCTCACCCCTTTATATTCCACAACCAGGCAGTGGAGCACGATGGCTAAGAATGTAGGCTCTGGGGCCCGACGGCCTGGCACATTTCTTCACCCGCGGTGCTTCAGCCTACTCACTTATAAAATGCTGCTAAAAGTCCTATTTTCCTCCTTGAGTTATTATGAGGATTGAATTCGTTAACACCTCAGAAATGTTTAGGACAGTACTTGGCACGAAGCAAGCGCTCAGTAAATCTGCACTGGTTCCTGCTACTGGATTTACTGCCAACCACTGGCCTTTTTGAAATTTCTAGCGGGAGAAGAGGCTGGCTTTGTTTACATGGCATTGCTTTCCGTCACAGGAAAGATGAGACTGCAGTTTACCATTTGGTCACCATCAAAATAGAAATTAAAAGCAACCAGACTCTTGCTGATCACTTCTTCAATTCTCTGGGATGTGGGGAGATCTGAAAGCTTCAAAGAGGTCCTCATCTCTTTCAGGTTACGCCGGTCCCCCTTCTCCACAGGGGATGCATGCCAAGACCCCCAGGGGAGGCCTCAAACCACAGAGAATACCAAACCCCATGTGTACTGTTTTTTTTCCTCTATAGAAATACCTATGATAAAGTTTAGTTTATAAAATAGGCAGAAAAAGAGATTAACAACAACAAATAATAATAAAATGAAACAATTATAACCATACACTGTAATATAAGTTATGTGAATGTGGCATTAAGTAAAATAAAGGTTACTTGAACACTTGCAAGATCTGTTTAAGCTAACCAAATGACAGGAGATCAGAGAGGAGATGGGGTCTTGTGGGCCTAACGTAAGAATTGTGGCTTTTTCTAAGTGAGATAGGGAGCTACTAGAGGTTTTGAACAGAATCATGGGGTGGTTGGCTTTATATGTTGAAAGGATCACGCTAACTGCTGTACTGAGAACAGAATGAAGGTTAAGGGTGGCTGATATAACATCCTAGTCCAGTAATGGCGAACCTATGACACGCGTGTCAGAGGTGACACGCGAACTCATTTTTTTGGTTGATTTTTCTTTGTTAAATGGCATTTAAATATATAAAATAAATATCAAAAATATAAGTCTTGCCGAAACCGGTTTGGCTCAGTGGATAGAGTGTCGGCCTGCGGACTGAAAGGTCCCAGGTTCGATTCCGGTCAAGGGCATGTACCTGGGTTGCAGGCACATCCCCAGTAGGAGATGTGCAGGAGGCAGCTGATCGATGTTTCTCTCTCATCGATGTTTCTAACTCTCTATCCCTCTCCCTTCCTCTCTGTAAAAAATCAATAAAATATATTTAAAAATATATATATATAAGTCTTTGTTTTACTATGGTTGCAAATATCAAAAAATTTCTATATGTGACACGGCACCAGAGTTAAGTTAGGGTTTTTCAAAATGCTGACACGCTGAGCTCAAAAGGTTCGCCATCACTGTACCTAGTCAAGGCGACAGTGGCTGGAACCAAGGTGGTGTCAGTGGAGAAGGGAAGAACAGGATTTGACGACAGATTGGGTGTGGGGAGTAAGAGTTGCTGAGTTGGCCTCTGCAGTGGGAATGATGAAGTTGCCATAAACTGAGATAGACAAGGCTGTAGGTAGAGAAGGTTTTTGAGGGGGAGGAGTTTAGTTTTGGACATAATAAAATGGAGAGGTCTATTCAACATCCAAGTAGAGATGCTGAGGTACTTGGATATACAAGTGTGGATCTGAGGCTAGAGACTTGTGAGCATAGTTATCATATCTAATGCCCTTGACTGAATGCCATTGACTGAATGAGATCACTAAGGGAGAGAGTACAGAACAGGTCCAGGAATCCGGGGACATGCAATATTAGGAGGTCAGTGAGCAAAGGAGATTGAGACAAAGTGTAGGACAGGAGTGTAGGACAAAGACCAGGAGAGTGAAGTGTCCTGTAACACAGAAGAAACAAATGTAAGAAGTGAAGGAAGTCTTACAGGGAGGAGGGAGTGATCAACTATGTCAAATGCTGCTCACAGGTCAAGTGAGATGAAGACTGAGATCAGGCCATTGGATTAAGTAACATGGAGAGTTTTGGTGGAATGCTGGGAACAAGAGCTAGTTAGAACATGAAAGAAAAGGAGTTGGGGCAGTAAATAGAGTACTCTTTCAAAGATACTTACTGTAAAGAGAGCAAAAATTAATGGGACAGTAGCTAGAAGAGGAAGTGGAAGTAAAAATGGGTTTTGTTGTTGTTCTTATTGTTTAAGATTTACTTTAAGAAGCAAATATATTAACCTACGTGGGAACCGTCACTGG